TTTTAATTTTAAAATATTAAATCGTAATATATTCCAATAAAACACGCACATGTCTTTTATTGGGTACTGAGTTACTTATGTGCATGTTTTTATATTTTTATTCCACTTTCGCATATAATATTTCGCACTAACTTCGCTCACACCACGTACTCACTCCAATGAGTCTGCTGCTGTACACGTGGTCGCGCCGCTTTTGAGCTCAAAAAGCTAAAGTCTGAAAGTCTAAGCGCACACTGGTTTATATATTAATGTTTCTCATGATTTTTCCATAAATAATTTAATATAAATAAAATATTGCTTAACGAGCGCTCATTGCATACAAAATATTACTAATTTGCTAAGCAAAAAACATTATTTCATATAAAAAGCTAAAAAATTCGCAGATTATAATTTCACTTTCGCCGCTTCTAAACGTCCACACAATTTGCGCGCTCAACTCATACTAAAAGGAAACTGGAAAAACACACTGTCGTCTGCTGGCAAGCGCGTAACGACCTACAAACATGCGATTGTTCGGCAAATACATATCTACACAGCTGGCGCTGGTTGCTCCGCATGGTCGTCGTCAATGGTTGGTGGAATGACGATACACCGCACAGAATGTGGTGAATGTTTAGCGAAATGTTAGCAGTAGCTTTGTCTGGCGGGGTAGATATGAATGTTCATGCATTAACAACTCATAAAAATGCCGGAGGTCGGCGGCAGCACTAAAGAAGCAAAGCGAAAAACAACAAAAGAAATATTTATAAAATAAAGTAAATATGAGAAAACACACCGGAACAACAAGCAATAAAATACAAAGCACTCATAGCTCCTAAACACGTTTGGCTCACACACTCACTCAATCGCCGTCGCGCTCACTCACACGCTCAATAGTCGCTCCAATGCAACTTCAAACTCAGTCGAATTGAGTTTACTTTTGGCAGGAGTTCGCAAAAAAAAAAAAAAAAAAAAAAAAAAAAAAAAAAAAAAAAAAAAAAAAAAAAAAAAAAAAAAAAAAAAAAAAAAAAAAAAATTTCTCTTAATAGTGCTAATTTCTCTTATAATTTTTTTTCTTTTTTTTTTATTTTTTTTGGTTTTTTTTCTTTTTATTTAATTTTTTCGCTTTGTTTTTGGGCGTGTTTAACACGAATTTGTATGCCAAGCGCGGTTTAGAGAGGAGCAGACTTCTAAAGTCACAAATTTTGCTTTTTTATGCTTCTTATATTAAATTACTAAATGATTTCCTAATCATTTTAATATTTTCTTAAGAAAAACTACACATTGCATTATTAATTGATGGATTTGGCGATATTTTCGTTCGAGTGTGGGTGCCCCATACCAGTAAAATGGCTATAAATAGTCGAAACTAAAAAATAAGTTAGCCGCACTAATGCTATAATATCCTTCTCAGTTGTATTTCTTATAGCAATTAGGTTGGCCAAATTAGGTTGGTATATATCCAACACTAAGCCCACCCCAAAAGTACCGTCTGGTACTAGATGAGAATGTATATACCCTTCAACTAAAAAAAAATCCCTCAATTAATCCTCCCCGAATGTACCAACTGATAATAGATGAGATAGTATCATGACTTAGGCCGAGTTGGGCTCGTTGCAGTTCGCCTCTGTTGCAGTTGGAAGGTATGTAACTCACTAAGCTCTGACTTCTTATCTGGGTGTTAGTTGCTCCTCAATAGCACATCATTCAGTTGGGAAGCCTTGTTATGCCGCAGCGGACAAACTTTCCACTACACTCGTTGGTACCAAATATGAGTCAAAATAATGACAACAACTCAATACTTTTAAAGGGGTTCAAAACTTCTAGTCAAAAAGTCGGAAGGAAGTTGTTTTTCACAGAAGCGAACTGTGTTTGTTGGAGTTACTGCTTAAACTGGCTCCAGGAAGGCAACAACACTAGCGGCAGCCGAACCGAAACCATGTAGCCAAAGCATGATTGCTAAGCAGGGATGGGAAGAAGATTTCGAACTCAAACTTGTAGCCAAAGCATGATTGCTAAGCAGGGTGGTGAAGGAGATTGCAAAAGTGCTACTTCTACTAGTGCGTCTGCCAGGGAATGGCTTAATTTTAAGGTCGATTACCTAGCGAAATCATGATGCGCGGACAAACGATATGCTGCCTACCTGCTGAGATGCGTGCCCACCAATGAAGTGCTTACAAAGAAGATCCAGAAAGTTATTGTTTGCACGAAAGCGGTTTTAACTAATTTGACCCAGAACCGCATCATCATTGGTGTGCTGGATGAAGGAGTTATCGAAGGAAAAATCCTCAGAGCTCAGTGGAAATGAGTTCAAGCTATTCTGACAAATTTTTGGGTGGAAGTGCTATAAAGCAATCCAGGTTCACCATCGTCTTGCAGGAATGCCGGTATGTTGGGAATGTATACCACGGAGCCAACCTGGTAGCGGTTGACAGGAAAGACCTGCCATCCCGACCAAGAGCAAGAGCATCCCGTTTACACAGCCGAACCAGATAAAGCAGCTCACTAGAGCCTGCAACACAAATCTGCCAACTGAGGGTTGGAGATCCATCAAGACCTTCGAAGTTCATGCAGAGGAATCTGTCGTGGATACAAAAAAAGTCATGATTCTGATTCCGCTGGCGAAACGTGGCGGGGATATCAGCTATGAGAAAGCTCAAATAATAATTATGTTACAAATGAAAACTGTAAAGAACCAGCCTTCAGTACAGAAGTCAGTAGTTCTAGATTTCAAATAGTTCGCACTTATTACATACATACATACATATATTTAGCTATACTATCAGAGTCTCAAAAAGTAGTACGTATTATTTGCAATGGTATAACCTTAAAATCAGGTTATAATGGTTCTTATAGTTTAATAGAGATTTTCTAAAATGCACTGAATCGATTTATATGGCTTCTTGATAGATTTCATCACAGAAAAGCCGATATCCTATATTATAGTTATTGACATCAAAACCTTATATTAACGGCGTGACCTTGACTTACGTGATTTTATGTTCTATTTTGGTCTCTTTGTTGCTAAAAGGGAAAGTTTCGATTTCACTGAAACATAAAAATAATATATATATATATATAGTATCACCTATTCAACCATATATAGCATATGCTAAGCTTATCAGTGCTTCGTTATCTCTGTCAGCGGTAGCCCAATACGAGTACTTGCTATATGAGTGCTCGCACTTTGTTTATTTACTGCATTGAGTGCCCGCTGTAATCTCAATTACTTTATGATCAATTGAACGCTAATTATTCAATTAATACGAAGTGTCATCAGCACATAAAATAGAGACAGAGCCAAATACACATTGGAGGATTTATAAGCATTATAGGCATGCATTCGCTCCATTTTTTTTTTATTTTTTTTTATTTTTTTGATTTTGATAAGAAGGAATTCAAATCAGAATGAACAGTTATGCATACACGAGTTTTGTTTTAATAATTTTGCATTGTTAAGAAGTATATACAAATGTATAATAAGACGGTATTGAGATAAAGCAGTGATTGTTTTGACAGCTACTAAGCAAACGCAGTTAACTAACCTTCGTTCCTTGGACTCTATAATAACTGTAATCTGTCAAGTGCTGAAGCCATGAAATTCTTTGGGAAAATATACTCAAAAAAGACCATCTTAATTGATTAATGCTTGCTTTTTTACTAAATTCGACTAAATTGCTTTACGCGGAAGACACTTTTCTCGAAAGATTGGGAAAACAAATATACAAGTATGTACATATACTCCATAACTACCTCTCAGCATATACCACATATGAAAAAAAAAATTGACATACGAACAATTTTTTAAATTTTATATGCAAATTGCACTTTCCAACTCTTCCGTTACTTTTTTTGTCCAACTCTAAAACACCTTGCCATCCTACACCACAATTACTTAAGTATAGGCTTTCAAAAATTTAATAACCACTGCGCATGAGCAGCGAACAATTATGCAAGCACCCGAGCAATTTAATGCTTGAAGTCTGCAAAATAACGGTGAAACCTGTATACAGTTTGACGGTGGATTGCATGCCACTCAGTCTCTAAAACCAGCTTGATATAATATCGCGCGTACATATTGATTTCGGTTGAATGAAAAAATAATTAAATTATATTATAATTAGTCAATATCTAAAAAAAGAAATGCAAAAGGCAATTGAGTATGCAAATTTTTTTTTTGGAAGATATCGGCGGTGAAAAGAAAGTCTACATCTACAAAAAGACGGGTTTAGATGTTGACATAAAATATTCATGGCTAACATATGTCCGAGTGTCTCCGCGGGAGCTGAGTCCATTGCGACTTTCGTTGGGTTTCTAAACCAGATCTTATTGCCAAACTTCTGTAGTATCCTTTCGGCGAACCGAAGAAAGTAAATAGCGTAGACGAACATCTGCGTTCGTTGTAATGCTGTCTGATAGCTCGCCATTGTGAAGTACACTGTATCTAAACGCTGAGTATTTTGCTTTGATTGAAACTGAAAGCTTCTCAGGAATTCCAAATACTTTCGCGTTATATGCTGTCAAACGCAGTGCTAAAGTCAACAAAGACAAGTTGAACCTTAAGAGAGTGGAACTATTTTTCCAGAGGAAGAGTGAAAGAGAGAGAAAGAGCTAGAACGAAATACAAAAACCGACCTTTCGAAGTAAAACAAAACAAACATTACTGTTTCAAACAACTCAATTCTAAATAGCTGCAGTTCAGCTTAGCCTTTAACCACAAACGTTATGTTGGCCATGCAGTTGAAAAGATCCGCATTATACCTACAATGGCATTAAGGATAACGCCTTTGGTTACGAAGATACATACTTTAACTTGAAGAGCTGTTGTTTAGGTTCACGAAGGCGGTGCCAAGGCTTGGTTTGTTGACTAATTGTCAAAAAGCCAAAGATAATTGTTATGATGCAAGGCAAAGGTAAAATGTTATTTAAAGGAAGTGGGACTTGTAAGCGACAAGTGGAAAACAAGACGTCGAAAAAAATAAGATAAGAAAGAACAACGAAAAATTGTAAAGCGCTTTTTAATAAAAAATAACACCACTCAACAAATCCAAAGGAAAACACAAAATTTTTGCAAGTGCACATCATCATATGTTTGATATATAAGTATTATTCACCTTGAACTCAAATGAACTTTCTTTTATCCGGTAGTAAATTGAGCTGACTTTCAAGAAGGGTGATGCTGGCTTATATTTAGGTAACATTGTGGCGAGTCTTTATGTATGCCAAGTGACTGGTAGATTAACGACACTTTGAGAAACTTATAGATAACATTAAAGCTGACGGAAAACGATGTAATTAAGATATAAAATTATTCAAATGCGAAGCGGTTAAGTTTGTCTGTCATTTCATTTTCTTCTATTACTAAATGAGCGGTTACCCGGATGATATGATGAAGTTACCCACTAAAAGCCTAGTTATTACGTGCTTGCATAAGCTTATACCTCGT